CTCCCAGGAATGAATGCATGCACAAAATATTGGATGCAAGCATGAATGTCAAATATTGACTGTAGAACACAGCTCTGATTGCCTCTGAAATATAGCTCTTCGGGTTGCAACTGAACTTGCAATCCGTGGGATGAGTCTGTAATTTTTGTTTCGTTTCCTCCGAAACGAAACGGTCCTGTTTTCAGTTCAGGGGTAAACTATTTGCATAGTGGAGGTAATATCCAATCAGAGTAAAGTTCGTAATTGTTAATGTAAATTCGACGGCAAAATCGCCGCCAAAATTCGGTGCATCGCAACAAAATGTGGCATTTGCAACATTTCAATTGTTGCCTTGTACGAAAATGGGAAATTACGATTGAAACTCTCGTCTCTTGTTATATTACACAAGAAAACTACGAACTGGACTTCTAATCGGATAGTGTTAGTGAAAAGTAAATATCTGGCTTTCGAGGTAGGGACACTGCCATATCATTCGATTTGTCCACCAATGCGATATTTGAAACCGATGGAAGCAGTTAGTTTTGTTTAGTTCAACAAAGAAATGGTACTGTTTTCCGTTTTAGAGTGATTTATTGACATAGTGAGTATGAATGTTATCAGGGTAGCGCTTGTAATTCACAAGGTAAACATGTTCAACAAAAATAACTTGTTGAAACTAATTTTATTTCGTGTCACGGAAACAAAAGGAACTTAAAATGTCATGCAGGTAGAAACAGTTGGCGACTTAAATGGTTCTAAGTCAGACTGAAACGCTGTATTCTAGAGAAACGAAGATATCTGTTTCCGAGCTTGATTCAGATCATAACTACGGCGACATAACTTTGGTCAATCAGAACACTTGTCAGGAATAACAATCCCGCCCCTTTTCTGTGGCTGCATTCGGGAAAAGAACACGCACTTGGAGCGCTTGGACGATACTACAGATACCATATTGTGGAAGTTAACTGATTCATTATTTATATATTTTTTATAAACGTTGGTCCTCAAGACTTAATTTTACAATAACTACAGAAATTCTCATGTGCTGATTGGTTAATTTTTCAGAATAAATAACAAAAGCGTCATCGTCATTGGTCCCTTTTACAACGTCCATGAGCAAGGTCTTGTTTTCCTATGTTGGGCCACTATGATTCTGAAAACAAGCATATCAGTTTGCCCAGGTTCTTTTGAAAGAAATATCCTATTTTAAATGAGAGACTCTCGTTCTATATTCCATATTTTCCATCTCTGTTTGTAGTTAACTCACTACCTTCGACCCCAGGGCCCTCCTCTCCTTCGCAAGAAAGCGAAAGCTCTGGGATCGAGGATGAAATTTCCCGCGTCATTAGCGCGCAAGTGTTTCTTGGGAAATTTATTGGCATAGCAGTACTTCGGACCGCGTAAGTGAATTTTACTGTGGTTATTCGGTTTTCGTGTTAGAAATTATGGCCGTCTTCGAGGAAAACTGGCAGAAGAGCAAAGCAAGCATCAAAGAAAGAATTAGTTTCATGTTCAACAACGATCTACTGAGCGATGTTAGCCTTGTTGTTCGAGCACCGAGTGACGGAGGTGTTTCCAAGAAAAGCAAGATGGCGATTCCTGCCCACAAGTTTGTGTTGTCGATTTGTAGTCCCGTGTTTTTCGCCATGTTTTATGGGGAAATGGCTGAGAAATCAGACTCTGTTTACCTACCAGACTGCGAGTACGAGGGATTGTTGGAAATGCTGCGATACATGTACAGCGAAAAGGCGGAACTAAACGAAAGCAATGTGATGTAAGTACTGTATGTGGCAAAGAAATACCTGGTTAATTCTCTGGCCGATAAATGCGTTCGATTGCTGCGAAAAAAATTAGATCCGGCAAACGTATTTTCTGTTCTACCTCATGCTCAACAGTATGATGAGAAAATTCTGCTAGATCAATGCTGGGAAGTGATCGACAGAAACACAGAAGAGGCTTTGAAATCAGAGGAATTTGGAACAATTGAGAGACCTCTACTAGAAGCAGTCGTCAAAAGAGATTCATTGACAATCTCGGAGGTGAAGTTGTTCAAAGCCGTGGATCTTTGGGCAGCAAAGGAATGTGAAAGGCAAGGAATGTCAAAAGATGGCAATGCAAAAAGAAGCATTGTTGGGGAATCAATTGTGAAAGAAATTCGTTTTCCATTGATGAAGAAAGAGGAGTTTGTTACTGTTGTACCTGACAGTAGAATTCTAACTTCACTTGAGGTTAATAACATGATGAATAACTTCAACTCAGTATCAACACCACCAGTCGGTTTCCAAGAACACAAAAGAGTTGGCACATGTCAATCATGTTTTCGGTATAGCTATGTTGTGGAAAAGGTTTTGAATATGGATGCTGCTGATAAAAAATGTCTCAACTTTCATACTGATAGGGACATAATGCTGCATGGAATCCGCTTGTTTGGAATGGAAGATAGTAGCTTTAACGTGACTGTGATAGTAAAGGAAATCAGTTCTGATAAAGTAGTTGTCAAAAAAGTTGGTAGCTTCCCTTCTTCAATTGTACACAGTAGAGAATGCAGTTATCATGGCTTTGACGTCATGTTTGATCCTGTCAAACTGAAAAGCAAAGTTAAGTACAATATTAAGGTTTCGATGAATGGTCCTTGCTCAAGTTATGGGATAATTAATGATATATTTGCCAGTACCAGTACAGCTAGATCACATGGTGTGACATTTTCATTCTGGAATTGTCAGACAAGTTTAAGCAGCGGTTTGCATGTGTGTGGACAAGTTGGAGAACTTTTCTTCAAACTGCTGTGACTGTGATTTATCGAGGAGTGCTGTTCTTTTATTCAAATTAAGGAAGTAATTTAAATCGCAATGTTTTGATCATTTTGTTTGGTCTGAAGCTTATAGTAACATATTGTTAATTGCCATTTTTGAATGTTGAAAACAATTGGTAAAGGGTATTTATGTATAATTTAAGTGGAGTAGCTGTTTTGTTTCTTCAGTGTAGCAACGTTGTGCTAATTGATATTTCAATTTCTAATTGTTGCTGCTGTAAACAAGCCATAACAAGTTTCTTCAGTATTTCAATTAGGAGAACGTGGACATGTTATCATCTTTAATCCTATACAGTTTGACCCCACTGAATCAAACTCGGTATTTTAAATTCCCCCCTCAGTCATTCACTACCAGCTTTTTCGAACTTCCTTTATTTCAAACTATTTTTCATTTCCCTTGAGAGTTCGAAATGGTGGAGTCCAACTGTATATATGATACTGAGTCACATTGTTAGGGGAAAAAATATTGATTTGAGCAAATTTTGTCCAAAAGTAACCTCAAAAAATTCTTTTTGAACCCTGATTTCCTTCTCTGTCAGTTAGTTATACATTACTTTGTACATGTATTATGATTACTCTCTTAATTCAAATACATCTGCAGATCTGTGTTTTACATAAATTTTGTAGTTATATAAATTTTATGACACATGAACTATGCAAGGTGCTCATGAGTGATTACATAGTCCAATAACCATGAGCCAATTAAGATAGAATGTATTAAAAGTAAAACTGTTTGAGGATCAGAATAAAGAAGATTGTACCCATAGAAAAAGATAGGTACATGTTCCAGACTCTCAGTCAGTGGGAACAAAAAGTGGGCGGGTGACAAG